TCTTATCCGAGGGGTTATTGCGGGAATAACTAGAGAGAAGTCAGAGTAAATAGGAGGAGAGAGAGTCGATTTTATTAAATGAACTCGAGATGTGGAGTTGGGATGTAGATCATGATTTACAAGGAGAAATGGGCTGCTATTTATAGCAGCAATAAATGCGACGAGAGGACACGTGTCAGTAATCCAACGGCCGAAGGGTCACATCAGCCGGTTGGCACCGGCAGTGGTACGTCCACCGCATTGATTGCGGTTGGCGGATGTGACGTGGCATTAAATGCGGTGGTTGGCTGTCTCTAAAAGGAATCTTCGATGATTGAACATGTTTGGCCGAAGGCTCCTTGTGTAGCTGAGGGCTCCATGTAACCAAGGACCCCTGTGTAGCCGAAGGCGTTTGTGTGACCGAAGGCTTGGTTCAGCCGGAGGCCCCTCCGGTGCCGAGGGCTTGATAGTGCCGAAGGCTCATGTTTTTCGCCGCTTTCTCCCAGTAGCTTCTTATGCCAGAGAAAGCTATCCTGTGAGTTTTGGAGCCTTCGGTCAAGGAGGCCGAAGGCATCCCAGTGTGTATTCTGAGCTACTTTGAGGCTTGGGCCGTTGTATTTGGGCCTGAGTTGTTTCCTGGGCTCAATGGACTTGTGTAGGAGAAGTAGGGGTCTATGGGCCGGGGGTTCTTGGACCATATACTCCATCAATATCACTCTCAATGTTTTTAGCTCTCCATTTAAAAGTACTTAAAAATAAGTAAAAGTTACGGAGTAGTATTTAAAAATGCCTATTTTAGCTTTTCCCACCCAAAAAATCACAAAAGTGCTTTGTATTTTTAAACATAAACGCAAAATATGTTTTTATTTTAAATTAAATGTTTTAATTATTATAGAGCAGCTACTAATTATATACCAGAAGTACATGTTATTTTAGAAAGTATCATGCAAAAGCATCCTACGCTACATTTTCCAACAAAATATACTATTGGAGATGTAACAACGACAACTACTATATGCAACTACAATATAAGAAGTACGAAGTAAGAAATAATAACATATTAATATTAATAATAACTATTATAAGTATACTACAATAATATAAATATAAAAATAGTAAAAAAGTAATAATATATTACTTTGATCTCTTTTTAGTTAGCCCTCTTTCATGATAAACTTTGATGAATTATTTTAACAAATATGTTTTTGTGGAAATTATATAGGTAGTAATTTAAGCTTTTATGATATTATTCTAACAACAACAAATTTATATCATTTTTCTATTATAAATAATTACGTATATAAATATATTATCAATCAAATTTTAACATCTTTGTCTCAAAATTCAAAAAGGACTCACGGCGAAGCTAGGATGTTTTTACTTGGACTGTAATTTGCTGGTCTGGTCTGGTATGATTTCTTTGTATTTTTATAACTACCCAAGTCTGGTCTGGTCTGGGACAAATTACAGTCCAAGTAAAAACATGCTAAGGAAGCACTATTGATGACGGTAAAATAATGGTAGTAGTAGAGATTATTTGTTGGTCAAGTGGTCCCTAGAATAATTGTAGCATACTTATTATAGTTATTATAAATATTAATATATTATAATTTCTTACTTCGTACTTCTTATATTGTAGTTGCATATAGTAGGTGTCGTTATTACATCTCCAAGAGTTTATTTTGCTAGGAAAATGTAGCGTAAAATGCTTTTGCATGATACTTTCTAAAAAACACATGTACTTCGGGTATATAATTACTAGCTGCTCTATAATAATAATTAACACATTTAATTTATAAGTAAAAACAGTTTTTTTCAGTTTATGTTTCACCTAAGCTCAGTAGCTCACATAGATTAAAAGGTGAGATTGTTTCTGCACCTTAAAAGGCAGAAGTAGATATTAAAGGGAGAAATAGATATTAAAGTGTACGTTTGGATTACATATAGAAACACTTTTAATTGATTTTAATTAGTCTCTCGAAACAATTTCTTCGGAAAAACTGATTCTGTTTTAAGTTATTATCCAAGATAGGAGTAAATCATAATAAAAATTCCAAAGTAAGACCTTATACTTTTTATTCCCAAAATAGGACCTTCAGTTCCAATTATACCCTTCCCGTTTTTCCGTACCGCCCGCTTGCATCCCATCCCCACTTTCCCCCTTTCTTTTCTTTCCTCTACCCACTATTATCTTTCTTCTCCCTTCCCTCACACGCGTCTCATCTCCCACCTCATCTCCCAGCCACCATCATTCTCTGTTTCTTATCCCATCCCCACATCACACTTTTCTAAATGATTCTAACTCAATTATCTCTACTCATATCTACGGAGATTTCAAATCTCTACCATTTCCGGCGAATTTGAGGGACGGAAGCAAGATCTGACCAAGTATTCAAGTAAAAGGTTTGTCTTCTCCTCTCATCCTCCTCGTCTTCTTCTTCCTTTCCACTTCTTCCTTCTTCATTTACCTTTAATTTCTTATTTTGTATATGTTTTTCTTATTCCCCATTAATTATTTTATTTACTTTGAAATCCTACACTAAGAAATTCTATTTCAGATTTTTTTTAAACACGAACGTTCAGTGATTGAGAAAAGTGGATATGATTTCTTTGTTATTTATTTATTCGGTGATTTTATTTTAAATCTAATTTACAAATAAATTAATTTGCATCAGAAAATTCTACTATAATAAATGTTTATTTTTGAAAACTGATTTTACAGATATTTTAGTTTTATCTATTTAAAAAAAATATTTTAACATTCATCTATTCCACCACGTAATACATTCATCTATATGAGAAAAAATAATTAGCATCACAGTTTTAATGAAGCCTTGTTTTTCGATCTAGTTGACAATTAATGCCAACTTATACATATGGAGAATTGGAGATGGCATTAACTTCAAACAAGACGTCACTAATTACAAACAAGATGGCAATATAAATGTTGCTTCGTTGCTTCTTCGTTTCAAGTTTTTCTTTATATTCTCATATTTTATATTTTCCATTTTAAAATAAATTTATTTTTTATTGGACAATTTCAACAATTTTCAATGTGAACGTGTCATTATTTTTGTGTGATAGTGTCATGTTCTACGTCTATAAATGCCATTTATTTGTACGAAAATGCCATTTATTTGTACGAAAATGCCATTTATTTTGTACGAAAATGACATTTTATTTTATCATGGCAATACATATTATCTCATTAGATTATGCAGGTGGCAATCTAGCTAGTGGCGGTGGCGGCTCTACAAAGCGTGGTGGTGGCATATGAAGACCCACCTAAGAGCGACGGCGGCTGAGGTGGCGACGGCGGCGGCTGAGGTGGCGACGACAGTTGATATGACGGCAGCGACTAAGGCGGCGGCGGATGAGGTGGCGACGACAGTTGATATGACGGCAGCGACTAAGGCGGCGGCGGCGGGTAGTGGCGGCACCGCCGGAGATGGTGGCCTTGCACCAGATCTGTGTGAATTGGAGTTGAACTTTAGTACTCGTATTGAACTTTAGTGTTCGAGTACTCCGTATTTTATAACGTTGATTAAGTATTACTGAATAATCCAGGTCTTTCATTAAGGGTAATTTGGTCAGCATCAGTACTTTTACTCCTACGAAAGATTACAAAAGATGAAGGTCCTTGTTTTGCACTTTTATTATATTTTACTCTTATCTCGGTAATTATCTCTTCTGTTTTAAAAGGTTAAATATCAATGTGACATGTATGAAACATACATATAAATATCAATATAAATATAAATACAAATATTATAAATAAAAATAAAAATATAAATGAATATTAACATAAAATAGTTACTAGACCAATTTTTAGTATACTTTCAACCATGACCGCTAACAATACATGCATTTCTATTATTTTTTTACCACTGAATGGGATGAAATTATGAATATGAATAACATGAACATGACTACTCATTTTAATAAAATATGAATATGAATGTGATATAGAGTTTTCATAAGCCTTTATTTTTCTCAAAGGGATTAGCATGATGCGGTATATTTACCTTAGATATTTTTTTGGTCAAATATTTTGATTATATAAAAGCCTATATGTGAATGTAATAAAAAATAATTAGTTATTATTTCTGCACAATTTCAATAATACTACGTATGTTTTTACAAAATTTGGAATTTCCCTTTTACATCACACATAATCAATAGTTCATGTTTATGGATAACTTACACTAAAGTAACTTTTTTTTATTCAGAAAAGTAACTTCCGATAGCAATATATCCATATATTCCAAACAGGTCTCTTATTCTATATAGGATAATCAATATATAGAAAAAAAAAACTTAAGATGTAATCTTCTTTTCACGTACGGAGCAGAAAATTCTTATTGTACTTCTTCTTCCTTTAAAATTGATGCAGAGACAGAATAAATTCAAAACCATCCGTAAAATGACGACAAGTTTCTCACTAGCTTTGGCCATAGCTAATTTGCCAAATCAGCTACGAAATGGATTTTATTGTCATACCCAATGGATTTGCCAAGTTTCTCACATGTAGTATTAATTTGCTACGAAATGGATTTTAATGCATGTCATACCTAAGCTCACTAACATGCTTACATGCTGAAATCAACCACAGCTATTTTTCGCCATAGCTAATTTGCCAACACTCTTCTGATCTCGCTCTAAACCGTCCCCCTATTCCTGATCTTGACCTTACCCTTTTGGGGTGACCAAGATGAGCTGGCTGAACAAGCCCAGCTTTGGCGGCGAATGCACAGGGACCCGACAACGACGGCCGGGTCCAGGTCAAATGTTCGCTCGATTTGGGGCGCGCGGCCTGTTTCACAGAGATTGACCAAGCCCCGAGGTCGGGCCGGTATTCACCGGGGTTCCGCGATGACGGAACCCTAGCTATGACGAGGATGTGTAGGTGTACGGGTGAGTAGTAAGAACTAAGAACCAGTCGTTCGGGTACTCATCAGTACCTGAGTACCGAAAACTACTAATAAGGAATATGTACATAGATAGTATATATTTCAACACACCTGATTGAATTAAGAGGAGAAGGTGGCGACAACAAGGAATTAAAAACTGCAAAAGTTTCTCGATCAGCAGCTTGCAAAGGGGCTGGGGCAGTTTCGTTCCAAGCACTCACCGGTATTAGAGGATGCTATCTGTGCGTTGTTATAATGGCTAAGAGTCGACATGTATATAGACTTTTATACACATGATGATACCACCTTCCAAAATATTTGCAATATTCACTTTTTTTAGAGTGCTATATTTATTTTTATTTCACAATGATAATAAATTTTTTATAATGATTATAATTAAGGAGTAGCCCCTTTGTCTCTATTTGAGTTGCAAAATTGTCTTTTGTAGATCAAACAAAGTGATTTTATTCACTTAATTAGGAACAATTCTTAGTTCAATTTTAATTTGGATTGTGCAAGTTTGTAGAGATTTTAATGTAGTTTATGAATATGAAAATTTTAATTAATAAAATTGAATTAATTATTAATAGGAAATATTTGACTTTAACATTGGTTGACAAAAAAATATTGATCTCCCAAAACAATTTGGAACGGGGATAGGATCATATGATTTATATCTATATACTCCTTGATTTTAAAGTTACTACAATTGGTTTGGACACACTATTTGAGGATGATATAGTAGACAGACGGGTGATTGTGCCAAAATACGGATTTTTTGGAGTTTCCTAAAATAGCCTAGTCGGAAGTGGGAAATCCGACTGGAGCTAAGATTTGATTTATTTCATAAAAAACCTCCAGTTGCAACTGGGTAATCCGACAAGAGCAAAAAATAAAAAAATCGGATGATACTCTTGTTGCAAATCCCAAATCACATGAAAATTATTAATTGAGCAACGCTAATCAATACTAAGTTTTAACCGCTCTCGCGGCGTAGAGTACAATAACTTAGGGAACCGGGCTCATCTGTCATGCGACATGTATCTAAAATTATTGCCAAAACGAGCGAGCGTACGCCCCCTTAATCGCTACTAATCTCTTAGCGAACGATTAAGTGTATGTAAAAGTGTCCTAGAATAAATTAAATCTCTCTTAATTTATTCTACATGCAATTGTAATTCTAGTGGTCATTCTAGGTTACAAGAGATGAAAAGAAAATTAAAATACGTCGTACTCCCTCCGTTCTTTAATATAAGTCCTCTTAGGCTTTGGCACGGGTTTTAAGAAAAAATAGTAGGGGTAGTGTAAAAGGTGTAATGAGTAGTGGGTAAATGAAAAAGTAGGAAAGAGAAAGGGGTAATGGTAATAAAAGTGGGGGTATAAAGGTATATTTAAAATAAAAACTTTCCTGAAATGGAAAGGAGGACAAATAAAAAAAAAAACGTCCCAAAAAGGAAAGAAGGACTTTTATTAAAGAACGGAGGGAGTAACATTTTTTAAATAAATGTTGTTACTTATTTTTGCAATATCACCATCATATTATAATTGATTATTTGTAAAATGTGTACGATGGTAACCTTCATATTGTAAATTTTCCCTCCCTTAAGTAAAGTCTTGGATATGTCACTGATCGCATGTAACGGATTATTCAAAATACGTAACATATTAGTAAAATTTTAGCTCAACTTTTAGATTGAGTTTGCCTTATCTTGACCTTGTCAACAACAATTTTTAGTCTTTAGCAAATACGGAGTAACTTTTAGATTTGATTAAGCTGTTTGGGTAATTTTTCTTTGGGAAAGTTCCCGAAATAGGACTAAAACAGTTTGAAAATTCCAAAATAGGACTGTCATATTTTTTATTCCCAAAATAGGAGTAATTACTGTCAAGTTTGGAAAATACTGCCGTGTTTGAAGTCTGGTATTGGCAAAATATGACAGTAATTAGTCCTATTTTAGGAATAAAAATATAAAAATAAAAATATGACAGTCCTATTTTGGAATTTTCAAACCTTTTTAGTCCTATTTCAGGTAATATTCTCTTTTTCTTTTCACATCCTACTATCCTAGTCATTTTACGTCATAATCTATCTATCTATAAATAATACATAATACATTTCAAAGATACAATTGTGAAAAGTTTTGCCATGTGTCATTTTCTAAGTAAACATTAATTTTAATGTTCTATATTCTCTTTCCAAATTTAGTATATTAATTAATTATTATTCGTTACTTTAGGATTTGTGCTAGATTAGGATTGTTCTTAATTTAGTACTAACCTATTGGAATTCGACGCAAGAAGGAACACTTGGGACCCTAGCCAAAAAAATCCCTCTATTTTTTAAATTGATATAACTTTTTCATTTCTAATTCAATTTTATAAAAAATATATCAAAATTCACGATTTTTTATTATCTTTCATATGACATCAATATTGCATATTGAATGGAAAAACTTGCTAGAACATGATGAGAAACACTTTTAGTTCAAGAAAGTTAAAAAGAGTAAATTTGTCTTACATGTGTTAGGTTTGATAATTTTAGGGGGTCGCTTAAAATAGATATATTTTTTTAAGAAAAGATAAGATATGTTTAATAACTCCAAACTGCCATCTTTTCAGTGAGATATTTGAGCTAGAATAGAATTACTATCCTACAGATATTGTACACATTTTCTGGTTTTTAAGTTGCACTCATACAATTTTAATGCACATATAGGCAATTAAACTGTTTTGATCCATGATATGATTGTCATGTGTCCATGAAAAAATTGTTATGTATCATCTTATAAGAAAACATTCATTATAACATTTTAGATTCTAATTTCAATTTTGTATATTAAGAACCCGTTTGGTGACGATGATTTTTGACTTATCAGGCTTATCAGCCAACTTTTAAAGCAAACACGTAACTTTTGATTTCGCCTGCTGAATTGTGTTATAATAAGAAAAAGTAAGGATGAAGTTACTATTCTTGCTGTATTGGCTGATGTTACTGTAGATGATCATATTAGGTATTTTTCATCTAATTTTTTTATATTTTATTAATAAAATATATTTTAAGTATAATTTATTCATAAATCAGCAGAATTAGCCAATACAGCCACTTCAATCAGAACTTCAGAAATTTTAGCAGAATCTGCCGATTTCATTGTTAACAAACGGGCTCTAATTCTACTATATTGTGTTACATTAAAATTTAAGTTAGATTAGAATACACGTGACATTAATTTAGATCTACTATGTTGGACTTCTACTTAATTCCAATATCCTAAAAAATCCCACAAACATCCTAAAGTTGGCAAATTATGTCACGCCCCGGACCTACCCGGACACGTCAACAACCCGCCGTACAGTACGAATAGTCAACCGCAGTCCAACTCATCCATACTATACAAGGCGTCTTGAATACCATTCACAATAGTACATCCATAAACAATCATAATGTAAAATAATTAATTAAAGCAGCGGAAACATTTAATAATGTGTTTATGCCACACTTTGGCTAACATGGGCATACATGCCCCCAAATAATTATTCAAAATAATATCCATGAGCAATGTTTAAAATGTTTTCAAAACAGGAACGGAAGAAGCACGAACCACGTCTCCTCCCTTGAATCTCCCCGAAGCAACGGCGGCGGTAGCAACCTTCAAGTCCTACCTGAAACTGTGAGGTGGCCTCCCCCGTGAAGGGGAGGTCAGTACTTGGAAGCATTTGACAAGTACAATGACAACTATACTAAGTATAATCAAAGTTTCAATTTCCAAGACCCTCACATAGGGTGATAATATAATATAGGTCATAACCCGTGGTTACCCTCTTTGAAAATATACTTACTTTATATATAAAGTCAAGTAGTCGGCCCGAAGACCCATGTTTTACTTTGAAAGCGTTCAACCCTTTCCCCGTGACTTCAAGCCACGCCCATCTATATTAATTCACCATGCTAGAGGCTTCCTCTAGTCATGTTTTGCCGTGCTAGAGGCTTACTCTAGTCACTAAATTCGGTGTTAGAGGCTTCCTCTAATCACCTTACATACTTTGTGCTGGAGGCTTCCTCCAGTCACATTACATTATGCTAGAGGCTTCCTCTAGTCATCCTACACTACGCTAGAGGCTTCCTCTAGTCGTCCTACACGAATGCTGGAGGCTTCCTCCAGTCATTCTTAATCGTGCTAGAGGCTTCCTCTAGTCACGATACTAACTCACTAGCAATTTCTATGCCTAGAGTTCCTCAATCTTGAGTAGCCAATGAGGCCTACTCCTAATGTAACTTAGTGGTTACCCGTTCCTACCTTAAGGCATCTCATATGACTACTTAAGGTGCATCCTTCACAATCCAAGTCCTTAGGATTAATTTGTTCTATCACTTTTTATACAACATTCCCGATTAGTGAATCAATTACTAATCCATAAATCTTTAAACAGCCAAGCTCCTTAACTCATAGTTATAAGGCTCATTCCTATGGATTTTCTAATCCGCATACGATCTAATCTTAATATCAAAAATATCACTTTTATCCATTCATGATCTCTATACATGAAGTAAAAGTATATTTTATCACAAATATTCATGGTTTATACAATCATTATACCTCCATATTTATTATGCATCGTCATACACAATTTCCTCATAAATTTGTATGTTATGCATTTTCTATTCGCAAACAATGATATTTTCATTTAGGCATTATTAATCATTAATAATCCATGAAAATCACATTTAATTACTTTAGGTAATCTTATGAAATTAACCCAAAGATTATAAGCAATATAGTCAGCCATCCTCACCTTATGAAGTGCTGGAATAGTTGCCTTTGTTAAGCCCTCCGATCAATCCCCGTTCTAAACCGGTTGAAAATGAAAAATCTGGGCAGTCAGCAAAAGCCGGGCGGCTTTCACGAAAGCTGGGCGGCTTTCGTGGTCTGCAACTACGAGCAGCTTCCTTGAAGTGGCGGTTTCCGGTGGTTTCAACTCCTATCGATTCCACGACTCTTCTAAGTTAAATACCACCACTTTATAGCAATATTATACACTTTTAAACGTGTATAACTCGTGGTTTAATCCACCATATGATTTCTTAAAATCATATCAAAATAAAACTAGTTAAAGAACTACATGAGTTCTTACCTTCCTTCTAGCTACTTTTCCCTTGGGATTTCCTTGCTCCTTGCTTCTTCCAAGCTAGTTGTTGGTGAGAGATATTCCCAGAGCTCTTTCTTGTCTTTGGTTTGTGCGTAAG